ATTTTTTCCACGCTCGTCCGATTCCCTTGAAATTCAGCATAAATATTCAGCCAGATCAGAGGAAGGTCAGTCTCCATATGAAAATCACAAAATATACCTCCTGGCCACAGAAAGTAAAAATACAAGGTTGTTACTAGTGACGCGCTCTAATGGATTAATATTCAATATACGTAATTATGTATAATATAACCTATATAAATAAAAGTGAAACTCATTGTTTTATAAAAAAAAAAAAACTTATAGCGGAGCGCTCTAACGGATTTATAATAAGGAATTACATTAACCTATAAAAATAAATATGAATGTTAATTATAGCTTTATCAGCCCGGGCATAGAGCGGGTACAACCCCAACTAGTATCTATTATGTTTAAAAATAATTTCTAAAATTATCGGCAAATTGGTCGAGTAGTTTTTGAATATATAAGCTACAAACATATATTTGGTTTTTAGATAATATAATATACTTTTTTTAATCGAGGCAACGGAAACACGACGATTTGATACATGCTTTTATTTCATCTACCCTAGTCCCTAGTAACCAATGGAATTATAATATAATTATATTATACAATAAAATACTAATTTTTAATACTAATATAATATTATAACATGTAACCTATTTATGAGCAAAAATAAATTTTTTTAAAATACGAATTTCGACATATCCTCTCTGAGTGCACCCCGACATGGTGGTACAAAGATACCATGTCGATTTCAAGACCATAGCTATCATAGTTTACAGTCAAGACACGTTGGAATATATACATATTCTATAAAGAATAGGTTGATCCGTATAACTGTATAAGTATAGTGTCAAAATTCGACGAATGTAACGAAATTCGTGAATTGTAGATTTCGGACACAATAGTACTCAGAAACTTTCATCGTCGGTTAAACTCATGAAGCTGCAAGAAGCGAATTTAAACCACGACGCCCTCCAAATTCCGTAAACTCTTTTACTCGTCACTCACTTCCTCTCTGCGATCGATAACGAAAATCGTTATAGAGTCGCGTCGTCGAGATTTTGGCTGACGACGTGGGGAAGCGAATTTTAATTTAGTGTCGCGGGGGTGTTCCGATAGGGTTGCAATGACGGTGTTCGTTGTCTACACGACGGGAACGGCCGCCACCGGCAGAAGTTTGCGGCGACCGCTTAAAACTTAAATGACATCTTTTAACAAGATGAATGTCGCCACCGGAATTATGTACATATATATCATATTATAAATATATATGCGCGTATGAGTGTGGAAGCTTCACAGAGGCAGCGGCGGCTGTACAACTAGAACTCTCCAGTATATTTACATATATATGTGTATATACAACGACGATGGTATATAATATAATATATTATATTATTATTATATATATATTATACTGGCCCAACTTTTGCCATTTCAACTGCATATTACATTACGCAAAACGCTCCTCTCGTCTCGTCCCGTCCGTCGGGGTATATACATTATAATATATGTGTATAAATAACACTCGACTTGTGTAAATGCGACGGGAGACCGACGGCTTACGACCCTCTCTCTATAAACGTATACGCACTCTACCAGCTCTCGCGGATCGTGCAATTCAGTCGATCAATCATATAATCATCACCACTTCCGCCGCCGCCTTAAAGCTTTTCGAAGCGGGAGCATATCATTTAACGTACCTACATATAATATGATAATAATAAAAATATAAAATAAACAACTTGAAGAATATAACAGTAGGTACCTATATACCTACCTAAATACCTACCTAAATACCTACCTATATACCTACCTATATACCTACCTGTATATTATCACACGGAACATTTGTGCGAGCATAGAGGTTTATACTTTAGTGTTGTATTCTATGGTGCGTACCCGTGGGCCGTGACATATGCAGTTATAATAATAATCAACTACTTTAAAAATCATTAATATTACTATTACTACACTGGTTAGAAATTCGATTATTATGAATCCAATTAAGTACTCCTAAAATACCCAAAATATTAGAATATTCGGAATAAAAAATAAAATATGTGCGTCATCAAAAATTAAAAACTTAAAAAATGTAAAAATATAATCTGTATTCAAAAATGTTGTTTTGCGATGATATTATCAAATTATGCAAGAAATTTATTTTCAAAAATCTTTAACCTTATCAAGTGAAGAGTGTAGACACTTAAATGGATCACCTTGTATATAAATGCATAATATATTCCATCTTGTTTTCGTGACAATCAAAACTACATTATTCATTTTTATTTTCCACTTCACCTCCGTATTATTTATTGTAGAAATGGTAAGTATGTAGTTTTATTTTTGTCTCTCGTCGTCTAAGACCAAAAGCTCTGCGAGAGTACAAACCCTACAACGAGACGACATACACACGTCACGCGCACCGTACACAGAAAAAACCTCTTTTTAACCACCACCACTCCCCCCTCCACAGAAAACCATTGCGTTTTCGATCGATTTCACTCGCACTCTTGAACGCAATTAAATCGACAATCGACAACATGCTACGATTTAACAACTAGAATTTATTTGTGTACGTTTCTCTACTGCATTCGTGCAAAATCGACGTTTTCGATGTCGTCCATCGCAATATATTTTATAAAGGCAATTTATTGTAAAATGTTTTCTGATAAACCAGAACAGTCTCACTGTATCCCCGTAAAAGACTATATGCAAACAAATAGCAGTTTTTTGTTGTTTGATATTCAGTTTTGACTTTTCGGTTGACTGTGACCTCAAAACATCATATTATTATTATATTGTTTTTATCGCAATAGTATTCAAATCGAATTCCATAAATGACCTTTCCCACGGTCTTTGTTCACACAAATTGTTGATTTGTTGTCTGTGAGGGGAGGGGGTCGATAATAATTACTTTACATGATGTTAAATATATTTCAGATTTTTAAAACGATCACCTTTCTAGCCATCCATAGATAATTCCCTCGTTTTGGAAGTTATTCAATTTACGAGCAGAAGATGTAATTATTAATTGTTTTACTGAGCCACCTACCATGGTACATAGTCCTTTTATTTATTTTTATTTTATTTTATTTTATTCCGTAGCTGTTCTATATTCGTATTGGATTTGAATATAATGTAATTTGAGACACGAAATAACAAGTTTTTTCATGCTTGCTTTAACATACATAATACATTAATATCAGTGGTGTAATATAATACAGTGGACGCCGCTTATAAGACTCCCTTTGGGACCAACACAAATTGAGTCTTATAACCAAATGTATCTTATACGCGAAGTGAGAAAAAAAATTAAATTACATATTTGTGAATTTTATTTTACTACATATGTTGCTTTAATTTTAATACTTTAATACATATTACATACTTATTATTCAATAAATTAAAAAAATTCTGATAAAAAAATTAAAATTTTAATACATGTATAAATGATTACATACATTAATAAAAAAATATGAAAGATGTACCTATGTATAATGTACCTATTTATTATTTATGAAAAAAAAAATTGTAATTTTGGTTTGTTTTGAATTATAAACTAATATTCCGAAAATATATTGGAAAATGTGAAATGCGATAAAATGTCATACACATATTATAATAAAGCAAAAAAAATCTATTTATTTCTAAATTTTAACCAAAAATGTTTATTTTTTACCATTTTTTTACGGAATTTGAGTCTTATAAACAAAGTGTTGAGTCTTATAACTGAATTTTTTATAATGTATTTGGATACGTCCGGACCGTTTCAGACGATTTTGAGTCTAATAAGCAACTTAACCTTATACGTTATACCCTTGTGTCTTATAAGCGGCGTTCACCGTATATTATATTCCATCATGCAATGTATAGAAAAGACATATTTATGATGGTAGGTTCGTTTGGAACTCGATTTTCACCCAATCGAATATCAGATTTTATCCATACATTATCTGACATTTTAAATATGATCGGAAAACTACGAAAGATAAACGAACCGTTACTTATACTATTAATCTTGTATACATCTCTAGTTTCCGTATTTTATTTCACTGTACAAAACATTAAGCCACGTCATAGAAAATACCACAATGGTTTTAACTTTGATATTTTACTCTTATTTCTTAGCTTCAATAATAATTATTGAATCGTTAGATTATCAATACTATAGATACACATAAAAATATGAATTGTATCCATGATAATAATTCATAATTATAAATATAGAAAGACAATAGCAAAATTAATTGATAAATAAATCAGTTGGTTCTTATAGCTCAGTTTCAATATTTATCAGCTATTATCAATGTAATTCATTGTAATGTTAAGTAATTGTAATTGATTGGCTGAATTAAATTAATAGTACAATACAATTATAATAGTATTTCATAGTGTAAAAACAAAAACGCTAGTTTATTTTGTTATTATAACCATAATTAAAGTTATTAGTTGATGACGACAAGCAGTACTCCTCTTCGTTCGTATTAAAAAATAAAAGTAATTACTATACCTAAATACGTTATCAATTAAAATATTATGTTCTTAATTTCAGCGAATTACTCGAATTACGCAAACCATTTATCAAAGTAACAAAACATAATTTACATCAAAAACGAAATAACTATAATCATAGGCGACAATTGGGAAGAGGGGGACACAAAGGGGCAGTTCTATTGAAAAAAATATATTGAGAGGGAAAACTTATCGTTTTAAATTTGTTCAGTAAATATTGTGATTAATATTTGTGCCCCCTCACACCTCAAAATGTTTAGCCTAGTGGTGCCTATCTATAGTAATAATAAATAGGCATAATACTACCACTATGAATAGCATAATGATAAATATGACGGAATCATCTGTTGGGTGTTTGCAGCACGCACTAAGGTATAGCTTATTATGACATTTTACATCGTTATATAATAATATTAAATTGGTACTCAAAAAATCGATTCTACGTCAGCGAACATTATTTAAAACAAAATGTTCGAGTTCGATGTAATAATGCTATTAAAATACATAGTAAAACATTTACATACCAGACACTCGGTCGCTGAAATGTTGTCCACTATTTGGAGGTGTTCGCTGTTCAGAGGGTTCAGTTTCTAAAACGTCTGTAGTAGTTGGTAGTTTGTTCCCGAAATAATAACGTCCGTTATTTGGATTTGTCCGTTAGGGGAGATTTCGCTGCATTATGTACAATTGTTTTAGATTGTTTCGACGAAATTAAATTTTACGCGACTTTCTATAACCCATACGAATAAAACAAATAGGATGAAAATAATTATTGAGTATATATATATATTATGGTATGCAAAAAATAGAGAACTATCATATTATATTATATGGCTATCACTATTATTATAATTATTATTATTATACAACTCAACGGGGAGAGTATTATTATCATGTCTATTGAAACCGTATCAGATATCTACCAGTTGTACGCCATTAGTGTTGGGCAACAAAATTACATTTCGTTTGATTTAATATTTGTATACAATCTTGATGGAAGACTATGCGCAGGGAGGAGGGGATGCCACAAAGGGTCCCTTTAATCATGATAATCTGAAACGGCAAATCCGATTTACACGCCGCCATATACACTACACAGCACACTCGGCCGTTTTGGATCGGATCCAAAATTATACGTTTCTGCACCTACGACACACGCCGCAGGCACAGCTCATAATAGTATAAGTCATCGAGCGCTCCCATAATACATCGTGCATTATATTATGTTTTAGTTATTATTATTATATCCGGTGTTAATTATCCGAATAACGTGACAACCGTTACCTGCTGTATAGTATTTGTAGACTGTAGTGCGGCGGCGTCCATGTAATTTCAGTCTAGCGGAGAGCGTGTTTCGATCGCGACGACGAAACGTGTTTTGCAGTGTTATTCCTCATAAACCTAATCAAAATATTGCGTTGTTGAACTTCCTCGTGTTGTAATCGCGTGTTTAACAAAACACGTTTCGATTTTAAGCAGCCGTTGCAGAAGTGTGTCCCAAGGCGTCTGTCTTCAACGCAGCGATTTCCGGAAAAACATTGTTTTGAAATGTGTTTTTAATGAGACGAAACTATTAGATTGTTTGCATCGATGTTACGAAACTGGGTAAGTGGTAACTGATAACTGGTATATGAATAATAAAAATATACGCCTTGAGTATAATTGGATTCTGCTCTCTGGAATAATTATGTTAGTCGATGATTGTATGCACCGCTTAATGGCCTCGCGGTTCAGCCAATCACAGAGCCAAATTTTTTTTCGGAAATCACCGTTATTACGATTTACGGCGGAGTGTGAAGTCGCCTTTAATCGTCGCCGTGACGTTGTAATGAATATTTACAGTCGTTTTCAAACGGTACATTACGGTTACAATAACCGTGGTAACAATATTTTTTCCATGAAGACTTGAACAAAGTGACCGAACTCGTACGGTCGGCCGCATGAAAACCATGTCGCATGTCACCCGGTAACGAGTCGCACGGTTAAACGGCCACAGGCTGCGCTGTAGTCGCTAAAATTGCTATAGTTGCTACTTTAACCCGTGGAAAATATGTGCATTATTTTGAACCATGACCCTTTTTTAAATTTAATAGATTATACGATTACGCATTTATACAAGTGAACATTATGCGTATATTTATCATACACATTTCTTTTATTATTGTGTAAGTGATTTATTAAATTGTACAATCCTTTCACACAATATCTAGTAATTTTAAGCCTACATTTCTGTGTTCACAGCAAGCATGGTTGCAATATACAGTTCAGTGGCGGATCCAAAGGGAGGGGGGAATAGGGTAGGTACCCCCCCCTTGAGTTTATTATATACAAATTTATTGCATTGTGACTTGTGAGAAATACTAGTTATATTCAGCGTTACGTATCGTTACAACGATAACTAGCTGAATTACCCCGGCCTCGCCCGTGTGTAGTTTTGTTTTTTTCATTTTTACAATGTATCTTCTCGGAACAATTCTTATCTGCACGACGGACAAAAATGATAGGTTGCAGGTAACTGGAAACCCGCGGGCCGCCATGAGCCCGTGCCGTGCAGCACAATACGTATTGGCGATGAATAGTTATAATTGTTAATTTTACTCCACTAAAAGGCAACATTTTTGAAAATCCCTTCTTATGGTTTCTGCAAAAATACGATAAAAACCTTTATACCAAATTTCAAGTTCGTACGTTGAGTAGTTTTTGAGTTACAGTGATCAGTGACTAAGTGGTGTTTGGATTTTATATATATAAATAACGTACCCACTACCCAAAAGAATTACGATGAACTGTCAATCAGGACATGGCATGACGATTTATTAACTACATCGTTAAGACAGGTACACTAATAAATAATAATGAAAACTTTATCTTATCTTTTTGTGTCTTACGCATCAAAGTGTATAGTGTGTGTTATAATTTCATTTTGTCATGTAATAATATCCAAATGAAAGTCGAATCCTATTTTAGAAATGTTCAATAAAAAAAAAAAAAAGCTAGCCTTGCCCTCGCTTATGAAATCACTAATCAGAGATTTTTAAAGTATATTTATGTTGTCGTTGATACCAGTTTATAAGAATTAATTCAAAATGTTGATATTAAAAAGTAATTTATTTAGCATGAATATACTCTGTTGGATACATTTTAATAACCCCCCCCCCCTTATAAATTCCTGGATTTACCCCTGATACAGGTTATAATTAAATGATTACATAACGGCTGCGTAAATTAATATCACAAATATGAATTGTTCTTGTTATGAAAGATAGCTGATTCTCTTTACGCTGATATTTTTGTTTTTATCATCAAATATTTAATTGAGAAATGGTACCTATATATATTATAGAGTTCGATACTTTGATCTCCTTATTCTAGTCTTCATGCTTTTTTAAAATGTATATATTCTTTACTCTAACTTATAGAAAATTATAGTAGTTATGAGTCAGTTATTGATAATAAACACAATTCTTCGAATAAAAATTATAAACTAAAAAAAATACATCAAACTTCGTGACATAAATGCATTTAACTTATGTTAATCGCACGCACTATATATGGATTAAAATAAAAGCGAGACTGGACGCCATGGAATGGAAAATGAAGAAAAATCTAATATTTCAAGACAAACGTGGGTATAACAATATAATGTACAATTTATTGAGAAACGATACGCTTACGCGCACACGTATACCACAAGGCTAATGTACCCGTAATTATTAATAGCCTCGTCAGGCAGCACGCTCGTCGAATAAAGTGGAAATAAAAATAACGATTTCGCCCTTCGGCCGGCTATTAACCAGGCTATACCTAGGTACCACCGCGGAATGGCTGTTCAGTGAAAATCCGAATATAGGAATTTCGATACCTCCAATACAGCTTTTCGGATCACGTTTGATAAAATACGTTTGACTCTTCAGAGTGCAGTGAACGGTGACTATAACGAGTATGGATCTATATACATATGCTATTAAGGGGAATTACGTATTTTTCACGTGCTATAATACTTTTATGGATTTTAAAAATAATTGTGTTGACAGGTAAAATGTTATACATTTTTCGACGTTTATTATTTCAGTTTGTTGGTGTAGCGACGAGTCATTTGTCAAACACGGCAGATATTATACAACTTGAAAGTCCAAAATTAGGCGACAAATTCAATGCAACGCATCTACACGCTTGAAATTGAAATAAACACAATTTAAAAACTTTTTGTATAAGAACAAAGAGAACAAAGGCTCAATTCAAAATTTCACATTTTTCTGGAGACTAAAAAAACTTATTTGTGGGAACTAAATATTATGATCACACTTATTCCACTAATGCTTATTTGGTGCCTTAAAATCAGTCAAAATCATTCATTAAAAAACAAATTTTGTATTTTTAAAACTGTGCAAAAATGGACTATCGTAAATAATTGATACAATATATTGATATAGGGATACAATTATTACCATTAGAGTGAATATTGACCTATTATTAAAATTAAAAATTAGGAACATAATGTGGGTTTTTCGTGATATTTTAATTTACATGAGTAGGTAATGTAATAGTAGTATATGAAATATCACAATTTAAAAATGAGTATATCACACTTTAAAATTATAGCATCGTGAAAATATCAAATAATGTCCTTCCCAATAGCAGTGGTGTAATTAAAAAATTTTTGGATTTTATTGGGGGGTTTGTGTACATTGTAACTGTAAGAAATAATTTAAAAATCCCCGTAAAATGTCAAATAATAAATTTTTTGTTATTTGTTTTTTATTGACTATGGATACATAATACCATATTATCATATAATCTGTTCTAAAAATTATGGTTGTTAAATATGAAATATATTAATTTAGATTAGACACTTATAGTATAGTTCAAAAAAATAAATAGGTATATCATAAGACATAAATACTACAATTTCTTGAAAAATTCGCACCGATTTAACTAGTGATGATCAAAATTGTGGGACTGTAAGACCAAGACCAAGATTAGGTTTGCAACACGAAGACAAAAACAATAAACCAACACTGCAAGACTTAAGAATTTTTTTTCCCCGAATTAACTATATTTAATTAGCTCATAATTTATTTATAACAAAAATAATAAGAAATTATTTTTATAATTATAAAATTTTATCAGTATTCGAGGAAATGAAGAATTATTAAAAAAAAGATAAGAAATTATTTTAATTATTATTACAAAATAATATAGCTGTTACTAATATTTTATTTCCCCAAAATCGATATAGATGTCGAAAGTTGCTGTCTTGCTATAGGATAATTTATGTCCATAATACACCTCTATTTTGAATCGAATACTAATATTCGATTAAAGACTAATAATTTCTGGAAGTCATTACGAATTCCAGAGGTATCATTTTGATTGTAAGTACTTTTTTATTTTCGTCCGTAGTTTACGATATTCACGATGCCGCCGTATTGCTCTATTTCCGTATTTGCATATTGTGTATTTAAACGTCCTAAACTGTATTGTATGCATAACATAATGTCATTATTGTCGTAAACTAGAAGTCTGTTGGTAGTACAACGAATAAAATAAAAACTAAATTGTTTGTCTTGTTTTATGTTTACTTTCAAATTATTAATATATTATACATATACATTGGACTTAAGTTTCATCTTAGAGGTCATAGCATAAAACCTTCATACACCTAAGACAGGTATTTAATTTTTTTTTATACATTTTGTGAAAATTAAGAGCCTTGCAAGAGTCTTGCTCAATATTGAGTCTTGGACCATGACCAAGACTAATATTTTGAGTTTTAGACTTGTTTTGATCATCACTAGATTTAACTGAATTATATATTATCATCAGCCATGGAAAAAATCATACATTATAACATTGCGTATCGCTGCCGAAGACCAAAAATGATGACTTACTCGTAGATTTGTAATATTATTATAATTATAAATATTTTTTTTATTATTGAAAAGGCTTTAACATCTGAGGTCACAAGCCTGGGTTATTTAAGAAGATTTATTACTGCGAAGGAGGATACAGGTTAGAAGGTTAGAAGTTAGAACACGTTGCAAGGATTCGTCATTAAAAACCCGGGTGGTCACCCATCCAAGAACTAGTGACACCGGCTGAATGCTTGATCTCAAAACGAGTTAGTGGCTGAGGCTAAACTCGGCGCCACACCAAGCCACTTGTAATATTATTATAAAAAGTTTAAAAATGAGAATGATAAATTGGCGGACACGCAAGGTCCGATACCTTTGTATTTGAACGTTTCGATTGTTTTTATTTTTATTGTTTGTAACATTTAAAATTAATATATTAATGCTCCAATCTTTCCATCCACCACTGCCTACCTGCCTGCGCACACATACACAATATATAACCAGCGTTAAAAGTTTCTTTTTCTAAAGTACCGTTCCGGACGGACGTGTAAAAGTTTATGTTTCGTGTAATTCTTAAGCGTAACAAATGGACAAGTCACGGTTTTTTTTTGTCGTATACATAAAAAGTCTCGGATAAGCTATTATATATTCGGAGGGGTTTCGGGGTTTACGGGGGGGGGGGGGGGCAAAATGGAACAGACGCTGCTGAGTACGCGAGTTACACACGCCACTTACGTTCTACGCACTGTTGTTATATTATATTATATGGAACAGAACGTTTTTACGAGGAAAAAAATTGAGCATATAAAACACGTCAACAATCTACACTCGTGTGTGGAGTTGTAGCTAGTATCATGTTAGTAAATTTTTTTAAATATTTTTACACTCTTCATTTTTGCGAGTACGAAATCGTTTTAGCCCCGCGCATATTATACTCGAGAGGCCGTATTTATATGCATGCGAGTCTAAGGTACCACCCCCCCCCTTCCTCCCGGTCTGGAAAATCTAATGTAAAATTAGTAAAAATATAGTATTTGTATAATAATATGTATGGGTATTAAGATATTT